GGCCTCAGCAGATGGCCGCTCACACTGAGCCTGGTTCTGCTGGAGGTTTCTTCCTGTTCAAAGGGAGTTTTTCCTCTCCACTGTCGCTACAATCAGATTCCTGATTTATAAGCAGTGTTTATAACTGATGGTAGTATCACCTCTGGGTTAGAGTCCAGAGGTGATACTACCATCCCTCTAGGAAAACTGTCCAGGACTGCTAATATCTAAAACCATAACCAGCTGGTAAGTTTAGCTTGTTTTGCTTCCAGTGTTTATTATATACCTGCTTTCTTCATATTTCTCGGTAATCTGGACTTTAAGAAGTCGGCCATTTCTTTATCTTCTTCTTTTTCCCTAAAAACAAGTTCAAACACATGAGAAAGAAAAAAAAACGCATGAATATATGTCTGAATACAGATTATTAGATTGATGAAATTCAGCAAGATGTTCCTCAGACTCGTGTTATTTTCACCCATGAACAAGTTGCTTGCCATAGTGTCTTTCTTTATGTCCACTGTTGCCACGTGCTTTTCTTTTCGTTCCTATTTACTCCTGTCGTTGTTTTCTCTTTTATTTCCTCTGTATTATTGAATTAGTTTGGTTCATTTTTTCCCTCAGCCAGAGTTCTTGCTTATTCAGCTGTGTCTCCATGTTTCCCCTGCAGCATTCACCTGTTCTCTGCTCATTTTGAGCAATTCGTCTGTTTTCATGTGTCATTTGTGTATAGGTTACCATATTGCTTCTGAGCATCCGTCTATGACTTGCACCAGTTTATTAAACAGGCAGTTTCTTTTCATTTGTTTAAAACATACCTGAGGCGTTCAAACTCCACGTCGTCCACTAAGAAATCTCTGGTCTCCACTAGTTTGTGAATCTGCTGCAACAGTTCTTCTTCCCTCTGTCGATCTTCGTTGGACTTCTCCTTATCTAGAGCACAAACGTAGAAGATGTGGATCTCATCCTGTAAACGCCTCTGCAGTCAACATGAAGTGAATATTTCTAAACACAATGGAACCAAATTGGTTATAAGAAGGAAAGAATTTAACTTACTGAAAATGTCTGTAAAATAGGACTTTCTTTGTCCTTAAAATGAAAGCTGATGTGTTATAAACCCTTAGAGAGATCTGAGTGTTTCATCCTTTTCTTTCTT